TATGACGATTATTTAGTTATTTTTTTTGTTGCCATGGATAGATAATTGGTAGCTTAAATATATAAAAATATTCTATTAAATGTTGAATGTACTTTCATTTACATAATTCATTTCATTCATCGTTGTTGTGAAATATACTATGAAACATATGGAATAATAATATCGTCATCGTTGACATCAATATTTATTTAAGTAGCTATATATTTTAAAACAAACTTTTCACTTTTCATACGATAAAGGTAATAAAATTGTATTAAGATACTTTTATATTTTTTATTAAGTAATCCATTTTTATATAATTATATTTAATTTAAATTTATATTATCATCTACTACTATTTACCTTAATTATTATTTCATAATTTACGTCAATTGAATTTATTAATTAATTTATCACAATATATTTAATGTATATAACATCCAATGCCTTTAGTAATAATTTTTATGTAATTAAATTTATAATTTCTTTTTAACTAAGCAATTATTTTATATATAATTATATTTAACTTAATCTTATATTATTATCTACTATTTAAGACAATTATTATTCCATAATAATATTTTTAAAAAACTTATATAAAAAGAAAATATGAAAAAACTTATTCATATATACTTCAGAAAATATAAATAAATTTATATATATAAACTAATTATATAAATATATATATATGAATGATTTACTATGAAATATTTTTATAATTCTTCTTCTAATTCGGTAGAGAAGTCGATAAATAATAAAAAAATTATAACTTGCACAAATGTAAGAGCTTAAGACTGTGAATTTTTTAATCGATATTCTTTCAATACAACTACAGTCCACAAATAATACATTTAGAAAGAAATAAATAAAATTAATATGAAATTGAAGTCTATAAAAATATATATATATAAAATATGTTCATGTTCGAAAGCAATCACAAAATCAAAAAAATCTATTAATGATAATACGATCAATAACATAATTGACAAAAAAAACTATTAGAATTAAAAATAAAAGATCGTGTATATTTTACATAAAATTAAATTTTAGAATATATAATTATTATTAATAAAAAATGAACATTTTAGTATTAATCCAAGACCATCAAATGTGTATAACAAATATGCTCTGTAATATCTCCAATTTGTGGTGTAATGATTCCAAATGTATAGTAACTTATTGTCTCCAAATTATATGATATTCCAATATTCTAGAACTTAGACGAACTAAAAGGAGAACAAGAGAGTTGTATTGCAATAAGTGAGAGTTGTATTGCAATAAGTGAGAGTTGCCGGAATATCAACCGGAGACTCGCCGGAAAAGGAGAAAAAAAAGAACAAAGAAATATGAGTGAGAAAAAAATGCACGTGGTGCGTATAAAATGAGTGCCTAGAAAGCCTTTTTTATAGGCATTGAAATAAGGATTGTCATCAAATTCTGTCGTTAATAGACGTTAATTAAACATAATTACATCTTTAATATTCGGTAACCTCCTTCCATAAATGTTAATATTCATTTCATTCGTAATGATTAAAATCTATTTATATTTAAGATAAATTTTATTATTTATTAAATAGACTTTTTAATTAAAACATATTACTATTTAATTTTAAATGAAAAAAATATCATACTATACGTTCAATAATTATATCAAAATTTTTATTTTTAAGAATATTTATTAATTGTATTAAATAAATTAAATAATAAAATAGAGTAATGTGAAAAATATATAATATTTATAACTATTTTAAATTTTAAATTTTAATAAATATATTTATTAATTATGATTGCATTAATTATATCGACTATAATTATATAATATTAATGGTAATATATTAATTATAACAATTGATATAATAATAATTATTATATTTTGTATTTAATTGTAATAATTAAAAATTTATTCAAATAATATTGCAAAATTAACATTTTAATTATATTTTATGTAAAATATATTATTAATAATTATTTTTATTTAAAAATATTAAAAATATCAAAATTCTTTAAAAATTATCTAGTTAATATATAATCATAATATAGTAGTTATACATTAAAAATTACTTAATAATAATTATATAATTTTTATATAAATATATCTGATATAATAGAATATACATTTGTAAAATAAATTAAAATATTTTTGAACAAAATAAATTATTTAATTTTAAAATAAATAAAGAAATGTTATAGTATTATACAATAATTTTAAAAATATTATAATTCTTATAATTGTCAAAATATTTATTAATTGTATTAGTTATAATATTATTAAGTATGTTAATTATAATTTTATTAATTGTAAGTATTTAATTTAAATTTAATTTATTAGAAAAATCATAAAAAAAGTAGTTATGCTGCTATATTGATGTATTTTGTATATAGATAATAATAAAAATTATATTTCAAAATTATTAAATATTAATTACTCTTAACTAGGAGTATAAATGAATATAAAATTATATTAATTAAATAAATTATTTTATTATCTTTAAAATTGTGTTAATTATAATTTTATTAATTATGATATATTTAATAGCATTTAATATAATTTTATTTTATTAAAAAAAATCAAAAAATTGATTAAAAAAGATATGGTGAAGTGGAACCCATCTATCTCTTTTATATAATAATAATAATAGTAATTTTTAACTTTTAATAAATACATTTATTAATTATAGTATCATTAATTATATCAATTATGTAATTATTTAATATCAATTAATTGAAAATTTAGTAAAATTCCTTTAGTAATTAATTACTGATATAAATAAAAAGTAAGAAAATATTACATTAGTTTCACAAAATTAATTTTAAGAATTTAAAAATATAGTGTATATATATAAAATTATAAAATTTACTAGGATTTTATATATAGATTAGGATTACAAAATATAATTAGGTATTTTTAATTTTATTGATTATCAATATAATTATTTTAATTATAAAAATAATAAAAATTACATTTCAAAAGTATTAATTTTTCACTACCCTTAATTAGGATAATTAGAGGTATAAATAAACATAAAATTATATTATGATTTACTTGTTTTATAAAATTAAATGAATTATTTTGTTATCATTAAAAATGTATTAATTATAATTTTATTAATTATGATATAATTAATAACATTCAATACATATTTATTTTATTTAAAAAATTAGAAAAAATAAGAAAAATTTTTTGGTGGGATGGACTCTACACCGATCTCTTTTATATGTATATATATATTTATATATTAGAACACGCCACCATGCATGTGTTGGTGTTGTATACTGTAAAAATAATTTCGTATAAAACATATATATATATATATAGGTCAAACAAGTTGGATGCATTGCAATAACATCAAAGTAATACAACCTCAATGTTTAAGTTGGTTTACAATTTCTAACCTATGAAGATATTTATCTCGGCCTGCAACTATATATTAGATATGCACGATGTAAGATGTAAAAATTAGGGGTTGTTGCTTGAATCGTGGATTCTTGGCAGCCCAAGGCCTTAAAATAGCAATGGAATCAGTCAATCAAGCATCACATGGTATCGTATGAGAAATATTGGCTAGTCAAGCATCATTTACAAGTCAAACACTGTACATGATTTTCAATATTCCAAAATTAGAAATTGGCGAATAAGACTTTCTTTAGAAATCGGCCATTGAATTTCTATATTAATAATAAAATATTGTATTTGTTGCAGCAAAATATTTGTCTTAAAAAGAATTTCAAATAAAAAAAATTAAAATTGACCATTAGAGCTTTCCATCAAAATTTGGTAATTTGACCTTTATCAAGCGCTATTGGTGTAGACCTTGTTACTGTGCGAGTAACAGACCATAAAAACCACCAACATTATGGACGATGTGTATTACACAAAGTAAAGTAAAATTCAACTTAGACTGCGATGCAAACTTTAGATGATGACTTACTGTACTTGGAAAGACCGTAGCTACAACTGTGACTGAAAATACACAACATTTGAGAATAAAATTGAGCAAAAATATTAGCGACATTAGTGATGATTGACCGGTTGGAAAAAGATAAAATGAGATTGGAAAAAGATATATAATTAAATAAATATACAAAAACTCCTTTCTAACGTACTAATAAATTTTATATTTGCAGTCATGAATTCATATCTACAAGTATCGTAAACTGTAAATTTTGTTGAAAATATCTTGCAAGAAAGCCTAAACCATAAAAAATAAATGACGTCCATACATATATAATATTAAAACGATGCAATCTCATATGTCATCTTTACAATAATACCTCCCATTTTTTTTTTTTAGCTCAACACATTCATAAATTACGAAAACACATTATAAGATAAAATTTTCTCTTGAAAAGGGAAAAAATAAAAAAAAGAAAATAAACAAAATAAAAGGCTAGATTAAGTGAACTAGGAAGATAGACATCTTCTGTTCCAAAAAAATCAAAACAACGGGATGACAACGAAAAAATCTTTTAAGTAAATTCCACAAAAAGAAGATATGTTATATGATTACTAATCTTTTAAATATAAGTTATGAGATCTCCACAAGCTTCAATGAAGTCTGGACGTATTCCTTGTAAACCAACTACTTGTAATAAAAAAATATTATGGTTTGAATTTGTTGCTATTTGCAAACCATGTAAATAAAAACAAGCAAAAATGCATAAGACCAACTTCACCTCACCACTTCAAACTATTTTTCATTTAAAATACCATAGTAAATCTAAATTACTAAACGAACACATACAACCTTAAGAGAAGAGATGTTAAGGCTGACAGTAATGCAATATATGCAGCAGAGCCGGAGGTCATAACCTGGAACCTTAACTTGAGATTTTAAAAAGTGTAACCAATTCAAATATTGAAGAACTTAACTTTAGAAGAAAATTAGCAATTAGTAGTATTGTTCTCAATTTTAAGAACTATAGCCAATATGTGCAATTGATGAAAAAGCACCATTACTCATATATTATTGCATTATGATGTGTGATATTGTATTGAGGGTAAAAATGTCATTTTCCCTAAATGTGTGTATATACATAGGAAAAACTTAAGCAAATTGTAAATGTTGGATAACAAATATGTGTGTATACGTAAGGCATAAATGCAAAATTCAACTAAAGAAACTTTTTGGGACACAATATATGTGAGAAATAAAAGTCAACTAATTTAGATTCGAATATGTATATATATACCCTGAATTGTTTGGACAGAGCGCTTAACTTGAAATTGAAAACTTTGAGGTTTCCAGCATCCAAAAGTAAGTTTACGGCTGCACCAACAAAAGTAATCATTAGAAAGATTCAACCTATGAAATTAAGTATTGGTAAACTAAGTAAGCAGCCACATGAAATACCTTTAGATCTCTATAGAAGACTCCCTTGCTATGACAATAGTCAACAACATTAATAAGTTGCTGAAAATACTCTCACTTCATATTCTTGCATGCATCCTTGTACGGTTAACCTTCGTAGTCGCAAATTATCAGTTATAAAAATTTATTTTACAAATCAATTTCAAATAACATGTAAACATAGTTCTAAAGAACATCGTATAGAAAAATTTGTTTTTTGTAAGTATTACATGTTGTGCTCTCATTTGTAATTACTTAATGAGGTTATCAATATTTTCATTGCACTTGTGTAATTTTGTACACCCTAAAATACCTTTGCATTTTCATTGCACTTGTGTAATTTTGTACACCCTAAAATACCTTTGCATTTTCATTGTACTTGTGTAATTTTGTACTATAGAATCTCACTAAGTAATTACATTGAGAGCACACCATATAATACTTAAAAAAGGAACACAATTCCTTGTAGGGATCCAATAGATCCTTGAATTATGAGTAAATCCACAAACATCAAGAAACCAATACAATTGCAATCAAACTAACTTTGTAGAAGTAAAAATATCTGTTGGGGAAGTGATTTATCAAACAAACACATTCGAACACTTTAAAGGGCCAACTCCCTAAGCGTGGACAGTTCACAATTACAATAACGTTTTAACAACGAAAGACACTGCAAAACATAAAACAATAATGAGACAAGGTGTTTGTTGACCCGGTTTGATTATCAACTAATCTACATCTGGGAGATACCAATCCATAAGATATTCCACCAATCAGTGCTGATTAAGGACAAAAACAACCACAACTTCTTCAACCCAAAAAACTATCATGGTTAACCTAGAAAAATACCTCCATAGGTTCACGTTGTCACAAACGCGTACTGACAACGACCATACAACAGAGCAACTCAAAGTTTGATCAACCTCTCCGGTGGGAACTCCATTATCTTCGATCTCCGTCGACCTCTCCGGCGGGTTTCAGTGTTAAACAACAGTTCAAAACATGGAGAAAATGAGGAGAAGGGTGAGAGCACACACAATAATTTCTCTCTCTAAATTTTCGCTCTCAAACCTCACTCACCACCAAACTTTCTCTCATTTGGTTGTATATATCATGCAACCTTGGAAAGAACACACCTCACATTAATTTTCCTTAGCATAGAAAAAGATGGAGTGTCCTTCAATGAATCTGCACGAGTTTGACCATTCCCAAACTGTCATGTTTGACTCTTGTGGGCATTTAAGAGATTGGACACAATGAATAATGCCAAGCCCATAAATTCAGACTGCAACATGGTTGCAGTGACAACCTTACTGCAACATCAAATTACTTGAAAAGGAAAACTTGCTGCAGGGAAATGAAAAACATATTTGTCCATATGCCAAAAAATAACAAATGATTTTTTCATTTACAATATTAAATAGTTAAATGATAGAGAACTGGAACGGTCACAACAGTACATTAAAGGACAGTAAAATAGCAAACACAAATATGAATATCTGCAACTGATGAATCCCTTTGGTAGATACATATGGAAGTTTCCTTTGAAATCTATGTGTATTTTGTGTTAATTTGTTTCTATGTTATTGTTTTCATCCATGTATATGTATATACATTTGTATATATATATATATATTCGTTCGAAAGGAATAAAGTAGAATATGCAATCATGCTACATATGAGAATAATATGGAAAATTGATTATTTTGTGAAGTGCTGCACAAGTGGGCTATGACTCTTAATTGGGATTCTGATTAAGAGTTTTGAAATAGTCCAGTCATACTTTCTTGGCACACTTGTTGTTGCTGCCGTTGGCCAGAATCTAGGCAGTCATACAAAAAATTTAGCAAGAAGAACACATAGCACTTCACTAAATTGATACTTCCTCCGTCCCATATACCATGTCTGCTACACTGTAAACACGGTATTTTAGGAAGGGTGTAATTAGCAATATAGATATGTAATTAAGAGATATATTAATAAAATAAAATAAAAGTACAATGCAGTACATATCAAATTTTTTTCCCACTTGCAGCTTTCTATCAATACAACACGATTTCCCATTGCACACAAATACACTCCTGAAAATTTTACATATTTTCTCCAAATTACTTCTCATATTTTATCCAAACCGTGACATCAGCAAAATTAAAGTGGGAATTTTATTTCAACTCCCTCGTAATCTCAATCTAAAATCAACAATAAATACTCCACTATTTCACAAAATTTCACATTTCAATATTAACTGCAACAACAACAAACAACAGTTCCCACATTAACATATTTACATCAACAGGTACAAAATATTCCCTTATAAATCCAGATTACTACAACAATCAAAATAGGCATGTCCAAGAAAGTGCTTACACATTCGGAATTGAACCGGATGGTTCAATTTATACTCCTCTCATGCGATGAGAGTGGGGAGCCATCAAAAGGAAAAATTACAGAAGCTGCCACGCTATTCGGTTGCTCGGTCCGGACCGTTTCCCAATATTGGAAGGCTGCAAAACAACAATTACAAAAAAGGTGAAACAATTAGTATTAGTAGGAAAAAAAATATGTAAGAAAAGACAAAATAATGCCCAACGTGAATGCAATAGAAGCCTTATCATTGATGCAAAGGTCCTAGATCAGAAATTTGGCAAAGGGGCTGGATTGTTCGAAAACAACTATACCCTGCTGGGTTAAACAGAAGCAGCTCAGGCCTCACACGAGTGTTGTTCGACCAGAACTGACGGAGGGTAACAACCTCCAAATATTATGTTTTTCATTACAAGCCCTTGATGTTTATAGGTGTATCGAATCGACATCATTTCAAAGTATGCATAATGTGGTACACATTGATGAAAAATGGTTTTATATGACAAAGGCTACTCACCGATCTTACTTGACCCCTATGGAAAAGGATCTACACAGAATATGTAAAAGTAAAAAGTTTATAACAAAAATTATGTTCATATGTGTTGTATCCCGATCAATATGAGATCAGGATGGGACTCTTCTGTTTGATGGAAAAATAGAAATTTTTCCTTTTACATAACAAGTCCCTGCCAAAAGGTCAAGCAAAAATCGGGCAGCTGGCACATTAGAAACTAAACCAATTCAGTCTGTAACGAAGCAAGTTACAAAAAACTGCTTGATTAATTAGGTAAGCCATACTTTTCAGCTTAATATAAACAAAAATGTAAGAAAACATAATGTGAAAGTCTTTTATTCTCTTAATTAGAATAAAAGATCACATTTTTCTTTAATCAATGTTGCATTTAAATCATTTATGAATGGTTAATTACGTGCATATTATCCCGGCAATAAAAGAGAAGTGACCAACAAATTTTACCAAAAACATAATAATTCAGCAGGACAACACCAAACCACATATAAAAAGGGATGATCCAGACTTTGTACAAGCAGCAAACAACAACGGTTTCAACATCAAACTCATTCAGCAATCTCCAAATTCACCCGACATGAATGTGAATGACCTAGGTTGGTTTCGAGCTATACAAAGTTTACAAACTGAGAAATCATGCAAGACAGTGAATGACCTACTGGATGCTGTTATTTCAAGCTTCAATGAGTTGACACCCCAATGTTTAAACAAGGTAATTTTGAGTTTGCAATGCTGCATGATTGAAGTGATGAAAACAAAGGGTGACAACTCATATAAGCTTCCACATATGAGAAAAGATAATTTATTGAGAGAGGGGAATCTCCCAAATGACATAAGTGTTCCAATGGAGTTAATACATGAATACATTCACTATATAATTGAAAAGGGTGATGTGACTGGTATTGAACGAGTTATGAGTGATCTAGGTTATTAGTACTATAAATTGATGTAAGAAAGTTTTTTTGTAAGTGTTTATGCTTGTGTAAACTTGTAAGAGTACTTACTAACAGGTTTATAGTGTAAACATTTTAATGAAATGCATTTTACCGAACTAAATGTTTGTTTTCAAACTGCTAACCCAAATTCATAGATTAGAACTTGTGTTGTTAAGTGAAAACAATTTTAATATGAGTATATGTAATCGTGAATGCCATTTCGAAGCCGATAATAACAAATCGGAAATATTAGGCGAGACAAAATGGTATAGCACCCAAAGTTCAACCAGCTAATTCAATAAAATCCACCAAAACATGATATAAATGCATTTTCAAGCCACAATTACTAAATACGGCATGAATTGCAATATATTCATTAGCTACCCGACATAAAAATATATGAAATGCGAGTAAAAGTTTGTTTAGATCTCACCGACATCCACGACAGGGACGTATTTGTTGAGAACGCCGGAATAGGGACAAGGTAGGCTCGGAATCGCGATCGTCGTCGGAGTTTGGGCAATTCCCAAGTTCAAACCAGATATCACCAATTTTTGGGACCGATCCAGCACCGCCATCAAATAATCCGATCTTTTTCGGCGATGGTTGAGGCCGGAGAGAAGTTGCAGGCGCCTTCTCCCGCCCCAGAGGTGCGACATCGATATCCAACCCTAAATTGAACGGAGATTCACTGTCTGGTACCCAAAATGAGAAACCCTCACTCGCACCAACCTTTTCTCCAGTAAATCGACGGAAAATACCGTCGCTAGAAGCTGGGTCGACGGGGAAGAGCTCATTAGTTGATTTAGAGATCTTACCATAAAAAGAGCCACAGATCGGGCAGCGAGCAGAGGATCCCAACTTAGGGAAGGGGTGCTATGAGATCGGGGGAGAAAGCGTCTGCGATTGGTGGACCAAAGACATCGATCTAAGATGACCAAAGCACAAATCGGGAGAATACGTGAGGAGATTAGGGTTTCTCAGTCGGGGAGAGAAAAAGTAGAATGGGAAGATAAGTTGGGTGGTGGGGGGTGGGGGGTAAGGCTGGGTATTTATATGTATATATATTTAGATTAAATTAATTTTAGATTAAGAAATTTTAATTATGTTTAAAGTGTATAATTTGCCAAATATGGTAAGTGACATGGTATGTGGGATGTACCGAAACGGCAACGTGGACATGAAATGTGGGACGGAGGGAGTATATCAAGTAAAAAAGAAATTGGTAGCAGGCATAGTTCATGTTAGAAATTTTTTATAACGCGAGAATATTAAATAATTATCGAAGAATAAAATTCGATAATCAATATCGAAATAAATTCGATAATGATGTCGAGTCGAGGTATAACTTCTTTCCATAAAAAACGAATAAATCCCGGTAGTGCCTCTGGTTAACGTTCCTAAAGATGAAACGATGTTCGTCTCTAAATTAGGTGACACCCTAATATTTTGAAGCTCCGACGACCTAAAATAAGGGGACTTGGACTATGTCAGGAGACTTGAACAAGGAAAGTTTTCGGAACATGTCGGAAAACTCACCGGATATGAGAGAATTAGAGGGGAGATGAAAGCTTGGTGTTTTCGGTGTTTCAAAATGGGTGTGAGAAGGGCCTTTTATAGGCAACCTTGTAAAATAAATTTCCCGGGTCAAAACTGCCACCGTTTTAATGGCCGGTAACCACCGATCATTTTGGTAACCTTCGGCCATGAATATCAAATTTAATTTCGGTCATAAATATATTATTTGAATTTTAATTTTCAAATAATCATTTATTATATATGCATGTAATTATAATTTTTGGGTTATATTTTTGTTACAAAAAAATATATTTTCTTGGGCTTCAACAAAATATTTTGTTGTTCCAATTTGACTTTGAAGCATAATAGACTTCGTCAAGTCTAGCATTCACTAAACTCAATCCCAACCCACGACCACGACCAAGACGTTTGAGCCAAAAATAAAACTCATGCTCATGTATTCGTGTCATTATTTAGTCCGGGCATGTGGCACGCGCGCCTGTGGTTTGCCGGTATTAATATGCTTAACCACTATATCAATAACCACCATACAACCCACATTTATTTCAACTCACCGAATAATCGGTTCCGAAAATTATAGATTTAATTTAAAATTAATTTCCATCGTATAAATAATTAATCGATTTTCCAATCATCTCCCACATGAGTGGAAACGCTCATTAATTAGGATAACACACAACTCAATTCTGAGACATTGACACGTTAGGATAGGTAGGTTGTGGCTTTGAACATTCCTTAGTCAATATTATTATATGTACCGGTGGCCTAGTTGACACAATGCATTGAACTATTCTACATTTGCGTCCATTTTAGTCAATAATATGGACATGTCACTATCTCAACCTTATTTTGTTCTCATAATTTGATTTGTTTCGGCCATGGATCACCTCTTTGGATTCACAAGTGTTTCATTTGAAGCGACCATCACTTCACACTTATATAGGTGATCGAAGATGTTTGGAGATTTTTAAAAATATCTTTTAAGATACAAAAAAAAAATGATATCTGTATAAAATGAAAATAGTTCCGTGCATGTTCGTGTCGTAACTCCAAAAAGTTCATCAAAAATAAAAAATCTCTTTAACCGGTGAGTGTCCAGGTCGAATTCAGGGAATATGCGAATATCCTATATTTAATTAGAAAAAGTGCAATGAGTTAATGCAATCGAAGAAGCTGAAAAGATAAATTGCAGAAATTAAATCTAACTAAAAAACGATAAAATATACGTATCTCGAAAAGTCTGAAGCGAGGCGTTTGTGTCTGACTTTTGCGTTCCTTAATGGCTAGATTTCCATAGATGAAATGAGCGGGATGACGATGGCGTGATAGCAAAAAATATATGTATAATTGCAGGGCGGCTCAGAGGAATGAACGTGATCGCATTTGCTCGCTTAAGCCGATTCCCAACTTGGTTGGTACTCGACCTTAGGGGATTTACAACGAGGCTTCAGCGACACCCGGCGAATAGCATTATAAGCAAGAAACTCTACTGTCACTAGAAATTTCTGTGACCCAATAGACCACCACCTATGCCCCATTAATTATTCTTCCAACCGTTCCGCTAGTGGCTCTCCCCATCTGATACCTCTCTTTAATCGGAATCGAATTCAGAACAACAACTAAGCAGGTCGACAAGGCTCCCGCATACTTAGCTACGTTGAACTACCCGGAATCTGTTTGTGGCACGAAACAGGGATGAAATAGTCGATTCTTCTATCGCCCTTCCGCAACCTTGTCGAAATCCAACTTGAACAATTCAAATCGAATATGGAATTTTTGGGTGAAGGTGAGGTGGAGAAATATGATAGGAATTTTACTAGCTAAAATAATATGCAGGAATTAAAAGAAAAAAGAGGAGAAAATCTGTTTGCCCGCGACACAAAACCGAAATCTCTTATTATTAAACTAGATAAAAATATGAGAAAAAATAAATGGAGAAAAATGGAGTGTATGGAATGTATATTATTGTGTATATATGGTGTGTATATCTGTATATAGTACAATTAGAGGGGATATTTACAGGGGGAAGTTTGGCGGTTACAACCGCCAATAAATAACTACTTCTAAAAATAGCTACTAACTACCTTTAAAAATAACCATAAATAACTAACTCTAAAAATAGCTACTAATATAACTACTAATAACTACCTATTTTTTAGAAGGTTCTAGAACAAAAATTACACAAAAATAGCCAAAAATTGGCTAAAAAGTAGTACAAGACTTAAATATGGGAGCTGATAGAATACATAAATAAATGCAGAGGAGCCTGGGCATTAAATGCATCCGCTGACCCAGCGGCAATAAATGCAGCAAGAATTAATGCGGCTACCGCTCAAATTTCGCACCAGCCGCCGCTTCGCTCACATCCACGCATGGCCTTCCGCTAAGCTCACTTCCATGCATAGCCTTCCGCGCTCATAATTGTAGCCGCTGCTCACGGATTAATGGACATAGAATTCGCTCAAATTTTTGTGCAGCCGCCATCGCTTTCCGCGCGGCCGGCATCGCTTTGCTCACTTCAACGCCAAAGTTTCCGCGCTGCCGTCGCTTGCCTTCCGTGCTCGTGCACTCCTATGCAGCTGCCGCTCACTTTCCGCGCTAGCCGCCGCTTGCCTTCCGCGCAGCGGTTGACTTTGACTTTCACGCGTTGACCGTTGACTTTTGTTGATTTTCGCGCCGTGACTATTTTTCGCTTCTGAAGCCAGTTTTTTCGCTTTTTAAGTCCAGTTTTGGATTCTCGTATCAGTTTTCAAGCATTATTTCACCTATATAAATAATAAACACCTTATAACTAAATAATACTTATTAAAAAAAAATTATCCAAAATTAAATACTTAAATAATACTCCCTCCGTCCCATAACAAAGTATCTATTTTTCCATTTTAGTCTGTCCCATAACAAAGTATCAGTTTCTTTTTTTAGTAACTGTACTATCTACCTAGCATTACAAATACCCTTACAACTTACAATATATTACACAAATGCAATTACCTTTATATCACACGTACTAATAAGGTTATTTTAGTCATTTCTACTTTATTCCTACTATATCTCAATATAATACTAATATTTTTAAAATTACGTGCAAAAAATAAATGGATATTTAGTTTCGGGACGGAGGGAGTACATAAATAATGCCTAAAAATATAATTAAAAAACACATCAATTAATTTAATTTATACACCAAAATAATTATAAATTACACTTAAAAACTAATAAATTAATATTATACAAACAAGATGAAATGAATACAATTATTAGAATAAATTAACTTAAATAATACTAAAATTCGACATAAATAAATAATTAATTAAATAAATATAAGCTATAAAATATGGCAAAATCAAGAGTTATCAAACTCCTCACACTTAACCTTTATTCTTCCTCGAATAAATTCAATTAATGAAATTAAACCAAGTATTTTCTAAATAAGGACTCAATATTGTCGGAAATATCAACGGAGGTGTGTAAACGAATCTTAGCTAAAGTTCAGATCCTTAAGCAATTTATGCGATATTGCTCATCTGCATATATTCTTAATTATGTCTCCCGAAATATTTTCAAACTTAAGTGTTCGGAGTAGCTTCTAAAAATGATGCGACGACTCAAAGCTTTAAATAAACCGCCATAATAAATCATAAATTACGAAACAAGGCGGCCCGGTAGATATTGCTACCGATAATAAATTAATTTCGACATTTTTTGCGTCGATTTTTTTTTTGCCAAGTCAAGTCGCATGTAAAGATAATCGGCATCCTCCTCACACTATTCGTTCGTCAATCCCATTTTTAAGGAAAATTAATTCATCATCTCCGCTAACAAGCGCAACTAAATAAACGAAAGTTCTAAAAATTAGACTAAGTATGGAATAAAGGAAACGAATGAGATATCAACCAACTTTATCAAAATTCCAATTTATACTTGTACTCAAAAGAATTTCAATTATTGAAAATATTTGAATTCAAACTCAAATTAAACACAATGGAAATCGATTGACTCGAGAAATAACATATTTCACGGCTATTTTTATTTTTTTTTAAAATAAAATAAAAATTATAAATATAAAATAATTTATTTCAAAATAAATTGGACAACAATAAATTACACAAAATATATTAATAGACATAAATTAAACAACATAAATTAAAAATCAATATGAATAATTTAAGCCAAAATAAATTAATCTCACATAAATTAATTTGCACATGAATATAAATAAATAAATAAACAAACAGACAATAATTTATATAGATCCTAATTAACTAACTAAATAATTAATTAATCAAGCAGCAATAGCGATGAATGCTAAAAATCAAAAAGAAAGAATTAGCAAAATTTATAAGATTAGAACAAAACTAAGTAATTTAATAAATAATTAACTGGTAACACAATTAATTAGTGAAATTAAACAAATCTCTTTCTGCACTAATAAACTAGTCTAATCCAATTAACAATCTACAACATTTAGTCTGAACAAG